TATACCCAGCATTGCATGGGTGTCATTGGGACCACTACCTGCCTACTTTCTCCCTTCTCCAGCTCTGAGAAGGCTTACTTCACAGCATTGCGTTGGTGTCATTGGGACCACTGCCTGCCTGCTTTCTCCTTTCTCCAGCTCTGAGAAGGCTTACTTCACAGCATTGCATTGGTGTCATTGGGACCACTGCCTTCCCCCTTCTCCAGCTCTGAAAAGGCTTACCTCACAATGTCTCCATGACACACGTTACCTTTCTGTCCCAGTAACACCACAAAGGGCCACTTCACTTAGCAACAGCCAATCCAGTGAAATCATAGAGGGCCACTTCAGCTAGCTGTGCACATACATACATTCACAATAATAGATAGACGGTGATAGATAGATAGCTATTGTCCTCCCAACCCTGCTATATGCCTGCGAAACGTGGACTGTCTACAGACGTCACATGCAACTCCTGGAACGATTCCATCAGCGCTGCCTCCAGAAAATCCTACAAATCTCTTGGGAAGACAAGTGGACAAATGTCAGCATGCTGGAAGAAGCAAAGACCACCAGCATTGAAGCGATGGTCCTCCGCCATCAACTCCGCTGGACCGGCCACATTGTCCGGATGCCCGACCACTGTCTCCCAAAGCAGTTGCTCTACTCCGAACTCAAGAACGGAAAACAGAATGGTGGTGGACAGGAAAAGAGATTTAAAGATGGGCTCAAAGCCACCCTTAAAAACTCTGGCATAGACACTGAGAACTGGGAAGCCCTGGCCCTTGAGCGCTCCAGCTGGAGGTCAGTTGTGACCAGCAGTGCTGCAGAATTTGAAGAGGCATGAATGGAGGGTGAAAGAGAAATGTGCCAAGAGGAAGGCGCGTCAAGCCAACCCCGACCGAGACCGCCTTCCACCTGGAAACCAATGCCCTCACTGCGGAAGAAGATACAGATCAAGAATAGGGCTCCACAGTCACCTACGGACCCACCAGAATACTGATCCTGGAAGACTATCCTACTCGGCCAACGAGGGATCACCTAAATAAGTAAGTAAGTAAGTAAGTAAGGCGGTGAGAGTCACTAAATCTCCCAGGGTGTGTGATCTTTGCTCTGTGGGGTGGCGTTCCCTTCATGAACTATGCCTCTCTCCCAACCCCTTGCTCTTGAACAGGCGCCTGCTTGCTGCATGTCCCAGAATGCTTCATGCAAGAAGAATGCAAACTGGTCACTTCCCTTCCATTACGCCACCTCTGCGGCAGACGGCATCATCCGGTCAGCAGATAAATGGATGATAACACATGCATTAGTGCATATCCATTTCACACTTTGCTTTAACCACACACAAAATGATGGATGCATTTACAGTCACAGGCACCCCCACCCTAGCACTGATACACCAAGGAGATATCAAAGGTTCACGCCTTTGCTTTTTCTTGTGCTAAAACAACCAAGTGAAACCTCTCCCAAATCCATTTGTTCTCCCTGCCTGAACCCACTCTTTTGGAGTGTTTCTCTACTAGGTTGCAATGCAAAGCTGGTGAAAGATGGCCTGTTGCTAAAGTGTGCGCGAACAGAATCATTACTGTTTTTCTCTCTCCTTGCTTACTTCATTTATCTAAAACGATCTAAACAGTAAAAATGACTTTGAAAGCCAAAAAACATACATAAACATTCAGCAAGGAACCAGTTCAAGAGAGATATTGACAAGCTGGAATGTGTCCAGAGGAGGGCGACTAAAATGATCAAGGGTCTGGAGAACAAGCCCTATGAGGAGCGGCTTAAGGAGCTGTGCATGTTTAGCCTGAAGAAGAGAAGGCTGAGAGGAGATATGATAGCCATGTATAAATATGTGAGAGGAAGCCACAGGGAGGAGGGAGCAAGCTTGTTTTCTGCTTCCCTGGAGACTAGGACGCGGAACAATGGCTTCAAACTACAAGAGAGGAGATTCCATCTGAACATGAGGAAGAACTTCCTGACTGTGAGAGCCGTTCAGCAGGGAACTCTCTGCCCCGGAGTGTGGTGGAGGCTCCTTCTTTGGAAGCTTTTAAACAGAGGCTGGATGGCCATCTGTCAGGGGTGATTTGAATGCAATATTCCTGCTTCTTGGCAGAATGAGGTTGGACTGGATGTCCCATGAGGCCTCTTCCAACTCTTTGATTCTATGATTCTATGAACCTGTTAACACACTTTCATTTTCTCTGTTGTTCTTGTGTCACATTTTAGACTGTAAGCTCCCAAAGGCAGGGACTTATCCTCATACACTCTCAAGCATCATGCACACTGAAGCAAAAGAAAATGTCGTATGGATGGGATTGGACTGGATGGCCTTTGCATCTCTTCCAACTAACTTTATGGTTCAAATATTCTTTTCAGGATCAAGGCAAAACTATGGCTGCTTATTAAAGCCTTCCAAATGTTCAAACCTTTTCTTCCTGTTTTCAAATTATTTAGTAAGTTTTTATTTTGCTAAAAGGGGACATGAGAGAAGCCTCCTCGCAGGATTGCAAGACATCCGTGCTTGCTCCATCCGTGTTTACACAACTGACCAGCCACTGCCAGAAGGGACAGAGAGTTTCATCTATGCTGATGATCGTGCCATTACCGCTCAAGCAGGGAGCTTTGAGATGGTTGAACAGAAGCTCTCCGAAGCTCTAGGTGCTCTTACTGCCTATTACAGGGAAAACCAGCTGATCCCTAATCCATCTAAAACACAGACATGTGCTTTTCATTTTAAGAACAGACAAGCATCCCAAGCTCTGAGGATTACCTGGGAAGGAATCCCACTGGAGCATTGCAACGCACCCAAATACCTGGGAGTCACTCTGGACCGTGCTCTGACCTACAAGAAGCACTGCCTGAATATCAAGCAAAAGGTGGGCGCTATAAATAATATCATATGAAAGCTGACTGGCATAACCTGGGGATCACAACCAGACACAGTGAAGACATCTGCACTTGCACTCTGCTACTCTGCTGCTGAGCATGCATGCCCGGTGTGGAACACATTTCACCACGCTAAAACAGTGGATGTGGCCCTTAATGAGACATGCCACATTATCACATGATGTCTGCGCCCTACACCACTGGAGAAATTACACTGTTTAGCCGGTATTGTACCACCTGACATCCGCCGGGAAGTAGCAGCCAATAGTGAAAGGACCAAGGCAGTGACGTCTCCAGCTTATCCCCTTTTTGGGTATCAGCCAGCACGTCAACGACTTAAATCAAGAAATAGTTTTCTAAGCTCTACAGAGACACTCGCTGGAACACCTCAGCAAGCGAGAGTCCAAAAGTGGCAGGCTCAAACCCAGAACCTCAACCAATGGCTGATGCCAAATGAGAAACTCCCCCCTGGGCAGTCAGAAGACTGGGCGACTTGGAAGGCGCTGAACAGACTGCGCTCTGGCACCACAAGATGCAGAGCCAACCTTAAGAAATGGGGCCACAAAGTGGAGTCCACGACATGCGAGTGTGGAGAAGAGCAAACCACAGACCACCTGCTGCAATGCACCCTGAGCCCTGCCACATGCACCATGGAGGATCCTCTTGCAGCAACATCAGAGGCACTCCAAGTGGCCAGATACTAGTTAAAGGACATTTAATCAACCACCAAGCTTGCAAACTTTGTGTTCTGTTTGTTTGTTTGATGAAAAATGCAATGCAATTGTTTGGTCTGCTCCTGACACGATAAATAAATATTTTGCTAAAGTTATTTTTACTGAAATGTAATACAATGTTCTGGTTGCGGATGACACGATAAATAAATAAATAAATAAATAAATAAATAAATAAATAAATAGTCTGCTTAAATTGGTATTTCTCTTCTCTGTAATCTTGTGAAACAGGCAGTTAGAATATATAAAAGGGCCAGGCTTAGAACAGCTGGTTATTTATTTACAATTTATTTATTTACAACATTTCTACCCTGCTCTTCTCAACCCCTGAGGGGGGACTCAGAGCGGCTAACACTGGCAACAATTCGATGCCGCAATATCACAATATAACAACAATATAAAACCATAAATACACAATAGATTAAAAACAATAACATTAGTTATACAATCATATAGCTGGGTTGTTGTAGGTTTTTTGGGGCTATATGGCCATGGTCTAGAGGCATTCTCTCCTGAGGCATCTATGGCAAGCATCCTCAGAGGTAAGTGAGGTCTGTGGAACTAGGAAAAAGGGTTTATATATTTGTGGAAAGACCAAGGTGGGAGAAAGGACTCTTGTCTGCTGGAGCTAGGTGTGAATGTTTCAAATGACCACCTTAATTAGCATATAATGGCCTTACAGTGCCTGGAGCAAACTTTTGTTGAGAGGTGATTAGATGTCCTTGTTTGTTTCCTCTCTATTGTTGTGCTGTTGTAATTTTAGAGTTTATTAATACTGGTAGCCAGATTTTGTTCATTTTCATGGTTTCCTCCTTTCTGTTGAAAGGAGGGTTGAGCACCTGACCTTCAGCTCAGCTCACTGTCCACCTAAGCAGTTCAAAAACAGCTGTCAGCCTGAGTAGAGAAATTAGTCACTGCTTAAGTGGGGAGGTATTTTATGACATCATAAAAAGGAAATACCAGAAAATGCCAGGATCAAAGAAAGGATTAAGTCTGTGATAAATAGCTCTTCGTCATAGAGGATGGAGCGACAGCACCCTCTGTGGCTGGAATCGAGCACAACCTCCAGAACGCCAAGGTTGGGGAAAATGCTGACATAATGCCTCTATCTGTTGTCTGTCCTGTCTGTTTAAAGGCATTGAATGTTTGCCGTGTACGTGTTCTGTGATCTGCCCTGAGTCCCCTTTGGGGTGAGAAGGGTAGAATATAAATGCTGTAAATAAATAATCGTAATTATAAACACTTGTGCAAATAGAGTCACAACAAAGGTCAGATCCTGTGAGAATTTAAGAGATGCATCTGGTTAAAAAGAATCTCGGTGCCAGTGTTTGCTCACCGCGTTGAACTCATTTGGTAAACAAATGAGATTGTTTTAGGATAATTCATTGCCGCAATAAACATTACCTGCATCCAGTATGCCTTGGGCTAGGATGGCTCCAAACTTGGCCATGACGTCATCGTGTTTATCATTAATGACTTTGGAGTAAAGCTGTCTGAACTGGCTGACCTGAAAAAGAAAGAAAGAGAAAGATGCAAAAGATAAACATACATTTCAAACGAAAACTAATATACCATGGTGCAGTTAAATAGAAGGTTCTGAAATCCAACTTGTATAGTATTTTAAGGACACTGGTTTATAGCTGTCTAAGGAGAGGCTGTCAACCACACCAGGAAAAAAAACCTACACACACTGTGCTTGTGACCCTCTTTGAACCCCATTTTTCCAAATATAGAAGAATTTGAGTAACCACCTGAGCAAGTATGTTATGTGGACCGGTAGAGACGACAATGGCACAACATGTTTATGGGCAGCAGCACCAGCTTCCACACTCAGGAAAATGCTCAGGCCGCAGCCAATAATCCCAGCCAAGACCTTTTGGTACAAGCGCAGAAAGTATGTTCCTACCGCAGGAAGCCATCCCTCCTGTTACTCAATTCTCCCTATAAATCATACCGAATTATGGAAGCCACTAATACGATTCCTTCCTAAACCAATTCCTCTGCATGTTTAGAATTGCTTTAGCATAATGAATGGCACAGTGTTTCCGTAAAAGCTGTTGGTGAACGAAAACAAGGAAGCTGTCTACACGCACACACACACACACTTCCATTGCACTGGGAAATCAGGGAAATCTGTGGGGTGGGAGAAGACTCGCAAGGGTCTCAATTATCTGATGCCACACCATCTTCTCGGCCTCATTTCAGGGCTCGACATCTCCCAAAAGGTTTCAAGAGGAAAATGCAATCCTATGGGGACGGAGAAAGAAACAGCCTAGGATGCCTGGGGTTTTGCATTATGATCTTTGAAGACAATTATCTTCAAAGATCCGTCCGATCTCTGTGGCTTGTGATTCTCCAAAAGCTTCACCTTCCGTTCTTGAATATGACAGCCAGGAAATGCTTTATATCCTCTCAGACCTGCCATCCACCTCGCTCACTGCTGATAAGACAGATAAGTTTAATTGTGGCCTTTCTTGTCCTCTATGAGATGGAGTAAATCACGTCAACACTTTCCCTCATGACCCTGATTGCTTAGTGAAATGAAATAACTTATTTATCGTATTTATCAAATGTATCTCCCTCTGCGTCCTGCCTCACAGTTTAAGATTGTCCAGGGAGACCCTGCTCTCAGTCCCGCCAGCTTTGCAAATGCATTTGGTGGGGACGAGAGACAGGGTCTTCTCGGTGGCACCCCCCGCCTGTGGAACTCACTCCCCAGCAAGATTAGGTCGGTTTCATCCCTCCTCTTTAGGAAGAAAATGAAATCATGGTTCTGGGACCAGGTTTTTGGACAGCAGGCATAACAGCACTTTGGATGTGAATTGGACTGGAATGGCTATTTGTTCGACAATGTTTTTATTGTTTTAATTAATGATTTATGTTTACTGTTTTAAAGTGTTGTTATATTGTTGTATTTGTTTGTATGTTGCAGCATCGAATTGCTGCCGAGTGTAAGCTGTCCTGAGTCTCCCCCGTCCCCGAGGGATGAGAAGGACAGGGTAGAAATGCTGGAAATAAATAAATAAATAATATTGTGTCAGAACTAAATTGAGAATATAGTTATAATGTATAGAAAACCCACAAACAAAGTTAGAAACTTGGCATTGTACTAAATGTCCTTTGATCAGTAGTTGGCCACTTGGAGTGCCTGTGGTGTCGCTGTAAGAAGATCCTCTGTTGTGCATGTGGCAGGGCTCAGGCTGCATTGTAGTAGGTAGAAACCAATGCGCTCACTGCAGAAGAAGATGCAGATCAAGAATAGGGCTCCACAGTCACCTACGGACCCACCACCAGGACACCGGACTGGAGGACCATCATCCTCAGACTACGAGGGATCGTCTAAGTAAGGTAGACAGCCAACCTCTTTAGAAAGGAGCCTGGTATTCCTAGAATCTCAAGTTCCTCACACCAAGCCTTAACTGCTCACAACATTGTTGGCGTCTACTGCGTAATTCAGGACTCAAATGTTTCATTTTCAGATATCTAAAAGAATGGTAATGTGCACTCTGACATTTTTTTAAAAGGAAAGGTTCACCGGGAAGAGGCAAGGAAGGATACAGACTGCTGCAACAGATGGAATATATACACAACTGTGTCTAGATTCCCTTCCAAGACTCATACAAAAGTCATGAGTATGACTTCATCCAATTCCTGTCCTTCCCCAAGACCTCCGGGTGCTAAGCCATAATTCAGAGAAATACAGAACGCACACAAACAAAATGTTGCTGCTGCTTTCTCTTAAATTTGACTTGCAAATTCAGTCCATCTTGGTGCCTCAAAGACGTGTTGGACTACGGCTCCTTTCGGCCCAGACAGCAGGACAGCTAAGTTGGAGAAGGCTATCCCACCTTAAGTTGACCCTAGAAGCAGCCTACCAGCTGAAGGAGGAAAAATTGACTATTCCTCCCAAGAACTGAGGTTCTCTGGGTGCCAATTTCTTCCCTCGGTACGAGAGTCCACACACAAGAAGCACATACAGCCCTGAAATCATTTGACAAAGCAGGAAGTGTTCAGCTTAAGCATCTTTCAACACTCTGCGCAGTAAAAAGAGAACATTCCCAATGAGGAAGAACGCAGAAGGCACGGCAGCAAGGATGATGAAAGATTAAAAGCCAGGTTGCTTTTCTCTTGGGGTGCTGCCACATCATTCCTGTGGCTCCAAAGATTTGGTGGGTTCAAGTTGTTTATATCTCCTTGACAGTTGCTATATAAACTTTGCCATTTTTTCCCTTCTCAAAAGTCGCTAGCCCACATTGAGCCATGATCCGGACTTCACACAGTAATCAAATCTTCAGAGAAACAGAAGATCCTGGACAAAGCGGGGAGACATTCCACAGATCTGCTAATGTTCGCGCTGGCGTCTGCAGTCTGACAGCCAAAGGCCTCTGTGTACAACGGGGCAAAGACAGCCGGCTGGGTCCCTGGCGGCACATGGAAGCCATTCATCGGCAGCACAAGCTGCGGAGTGGCATCCAACGCCAAGGTGCCCTGGACCATGTACACATTAACACTTCAAGGCAGGCATGGGCAAACCTTGGCCCTCCAGGTGTTTTGGGCTTGGCTGTTTGGGAATGTTGAAAGTTGAAGCCCAAGTTTGCCCATGCCTGGACTAGGTGCTGGCAGAACGTCCCTCAAATTATCCATGGGTCATATCAAAATCCATCATTTGGGCTTAAAAGTCTGCCTTGACTTCTACAAATGGCGAAGTAATTTCTCAATGAATAAACTAGATATGCTTCCAATAGATATATTAGATAATGAAACAGAGGATTATAGAATGGAAAAGAAAGCCCAGAAGCAGATTTATGGTAGACCAAATTTCAAAATGGAAAAGAGAAAAGGGAAAGATTTGGTGGTTTAATATTGTTCTGGAACGGCTGTTTCAGGGGCTCCAATTTTGTGCTTTGCACTGAATGTTTGTTCATTGTCCTAAGTTGCAGGGATTTTGCAGCAGGGTGGCTTCCTGTTATGATCTTCATTCATAGGACAAGCCACCTGTCAATAATAGTTAGGATCCCTGGTCCCGCCCCTCTCTGGTTTTGGAGGGAAGGGGCCATTTTTCAGTTAGTCTCAAAAAGGAAGTCTATGCAGAGGATGTATACAGACGTCCTCCTGTACAAAGGCTTCGTCCCTTAAGACTTTCCAGGGGAGAACAGTCTTGAGAGCCTCTGAAGATTCCCAAAGGTTTCGGGGAAACAGCCTTACAGCCCTGAGGAATTCCGGAGGGAATCACAGCTCAAACCATCAAAGCAGCTAAGTGATTACAAGCCTTTTGATAGGTTCGCTCGGCGTTGAGACGTAGTTCAGCCCGGTAGCGAATCCACATCAATAAGGTTTAGGTTCACAGCAGCCTGGGAGGAGCTAGAAAGGGGGAATTTTCCTTTTAACAAAGTTTTTGAAGATAGTGCCTGTTTCCTGTAAACAAGATTGCAAGATCTAATAGACTGTTAAGCCTGTTTGTTCATTAATAAAGAACTGTTATATTTCTCAAGCCTCATAAAGACTGCTTAATAAGGGAGATCCCCCTAAAGGCTTCTTTTTGGGGGCCCTGGCTTCCCGCTGGATCCAAGCCATACATCCCCTCTTAAAAGTACCTCATTTCGGCTCCAGCGGCAGCTTTATATAGGGAAATAGTAGAAAAACAATATAATTTGAAACAAAACCCGACCAAGGTCTGGAAAGAGGAACTAAACACTGGATCCAGACACACAAAAATTAGAAACATAAGGATTAAAGAAACTCTACAGAAAATATTGACTAAATGGTACTGAACCCCAAATCAACTAGCGCATATAACTAAATCCACAAAATGGCACAAATGTGGTGTCGGACTGGATGAGGGCGAACAAATTGAAACTGAATCCAGATAAGACAGAGGTACTCCTGGTCAGTCGTAAGGCCGAACAGGGCATAAAGTTACAGCCTGTGTTGGACGGGGTTACACTCCCCCTGAAGATGCAGGTTCGCAGCTTGGGTGTGATTCGGATTCATTGCTGAGCCTGGAACCCCAGGTCTCATTGGTACCAGGGGAGCATTTGCACAATTAAAACTTGTGCGCCAGCTGCACCCGTACCTTGGGAAGTCTGGCTTGGCCACAGTAGTCCATGCTCTGGTTACATCCCTTATAGACTACTGCAACGTTCTCTACGTGGGGCTGCCTTTGAAGACTGCCTGGAAGCTTCAAATGGTCCAACAGTCGGCAGCCAGGTTACTAACAGGAGCGGCTCTCAGAGAGCATACAACTCCTCTGTTGCACCAGCTCCGCTGGCTGCCAGTTTGCTACTGGGCACAATTCAAGGTGTTAGCCTATAAAGCCCTGAATGGTTCTGGCCCAACTTACCTGTCCGAATGCATCTCCTCCTATGAATCAGCTAGGATGTTAAGATCGTCTGGAGAGACCCTGCTCTCGGTCCCGCCTGCGTCACAAGTACGTTTGGCGGCGACGAGACAGGGCCTTCTCAGTGATGGCCCCTTGGCTGTGGAATGCCCTTCCTACAGATATTAGAT